AAGAATCTATTTATTTAAAACCTGTGTGAGACATGTTAAAATAAAACTTCAAATAAAATCAGTCATAATTCATTTCACCTGTCTTTGTGAATGTAAAACTGCAAATGTCTTGCAATGAATCTTATGGTTCATTAATATCCCTAGTAAAATTAAGGCTGGTATTTCATGAACTTTTACATACTTTACATGGAAATAGTGAAAAATTATTATTTCATGTGATTTCAACTGGGACTGGCAAGAAGGCTATTTCAAATCTAACAGGACAAAGCAAAGCTGAGTGTTGCAAAACAGCAAACCAGGCAAGATGGAAAATAGCAGCACAAATTCCTGAAAAATGAAATTTCCTAAGTTTTAACACATATATGATTTCAGAAACCAGTAGAACAACATAATTAACTCATATTCAGCAGAAGCTAAATATATATCCCCCAGATATATATGCAGAGATAGTTTATGTAATGCAAACTTAGAATCTAGGATGGACTTTTGTGTGACTGGCTGTGTTTCTCCTGTACTGATCAGCACAGAAGCAAGACTCTACTCAGACATTAGTCTTCCCTTGTGATCAGTGACTTACTAATTAAAAGAAAGTCAATGATATCCTCATTAAACTTATATGTTTAGTAAAATATTAAAGCAGTGCTGTTGAATTCACAGATTTGTTCTGCTTTTTATATGATGACACACTAATCATCATAAGTATAACTGTATGAATCCAGTTTTCAGAGGCTCTGGTGGGTATTGAGGCTCAGAGTGCAGGAGGCTAATCCATCCCACAGACCTCCCAAACCTTAGCAAGCACAAGGAATGCCAAACTTGCTAAACTACAGCTCTTGCAGATTCAGACTGCTTGAGACCCAAGGTGGTTAACCATGTAAGGTACTCCTACAAATAGGGGATGCTAAAACTGTAAGACCTCAGGCAGCTGCTGAGTTTACAAACCAGTGTTTTGTCCAGTTGTGAAAAATAAATGGGCAAAGTTAAAAAAAACCAACATTTGCTTTTTTCTGCTTGTGTCTCAAAATCCCATGTATTTTTTACACAAATTTTGTCTGATCAATGTCTTAGTGAAAGCAAGGGATTATAGTCATTCAGGAATGCAATAAGTGAGTAGTTTTTTGATCTGTTAGGGTTTACTAACAAATTATAACTTCTGCTGGTTTTATTTTATACTTAGATGCTCTAAAATTAATCTCATTGACAGAACAAAATTGATGTTTAGTTACTTGGTCCATACACTATGAACCTTGAAATATAGTTCAGTTTATGTGGCAGAGTTATTCTATTATAAAATAATAAAATAAAAACTCAACTATTTATCCCTATTGTTTTTTTCTCTGTTTTCTTAGCATTTAAGTAAACCACGTATCTGAATAAATCAGTTTCAAAGAGTTTAATGGCATGAACTACTCCTTCATGCTGTTTCACAGAAACGTACCTCATGATCACATGCCTTTGCCAATACAACATTTGTTTACAGAAGGCAGCTAAGAATTTCATGGACATTTGCTTTTTTGGATGTATGTCAGTGGCAGGAAAATAAAACAACACATGGGCATTTACATCTCACAGGAAGAATTTAACAGGTTCCCAGTGGCTGATACGTAAAAATGTGAGAATCCTTGACCCACGCATCAAGTAGAGTTTAACTAGTAATGTAGAAATAATATATGTGTACATACTACTGTTCTTCTTCCAGGTTACAGTCTTTGAGGGTAACATAATTGTAGTCCAGCTTTGCCCAGTGTTCTTGACCTGCAATAAAATGCTTTTAGGTCTCTTTATGTTAATTAGAAAATAATGATAGAAATGGCAAGGAAATGAGTAATTGATTTAGCAAACCCGCAGTCAGATTGACAGGATTTTACTTATATTATTGTGCTTACAGTTCCAATGATGCTAAGTCCTGCTCAGAACTGTACATCAAAAACACATCTGCATGAAAACTCTGAATTTTGATACTCTGTATTTTTGAGTCTTCTGATACTCTGTATTTTTTAGTCATTTGTATTTGGATTCTGATCTGTACATTGCCTCTGACAAGCCTAAAAATAATCTGATTTAAACACCCTATGACTTTTAAATTTGCAGTCAAAATGGAAATTTCTAACTATTCTTGTCCTTTATCAAGAAGGAAACCAAAATAGGCAAATATAAGCAAATATGACAGAATAGAAAAATGAAAAAATCTGGAAAGGCTGCCTTGTTTGATTTTGCTGGTTTTAGTCTACATTTACAGCTTTCACCCTTTCTAAATCTAAAGAAATACTTGGGTTCATGAAAGAGAAAATACAGGTTTTTTACACAAGTCCAGAAAAAAAAGAAACCTAAGTATATTTAAACTCCAATTGTATTTCATGAAGAATCACTGAAAAGATAAGAGTACACTTAATGGCATATATGTCACTGTATATTGCAAGTCAATTTTATTGAGGGTGATATATTACTGAAACTGTATCAATTTGGGTTAGGCAGCATTTTGGAAAATTTAAGCTATTAAATACAGACCTGATATGACATCAGGATATACTAATGAGCTCCCAAAACCGTGCAGAGGACACTGTTTATGACAGTGATTTCTGACAGTCCCAGCAGCCTCTTACTTTTCCTAGAAGCTGAAATTGTTTTAGCTATATTTCCCCTAAATTTTTCTCATGTGTTCAGTATTTCTTTAGCTTGTACTTACTGCATGTATTCTGACCTAAATCCCTTGCAAGATAAAGAAAAACAAAATTGATGTTTACAGAAGTACATGCTTGCATATGACATAAATTGTAGGGAGGTTGTGATTTATGCAGACTGAACATTGTAAATAAAAGCTTATCACATGTATGCAATATATGACCCCTAATTTGGGGGTCTACAGGTGTCATGTTGAAAAAAAAAGCAAAACAAAAATCAAAGAATGTTTTGCCTGCAAACATGGTGCTGCTTTTCTCACTGTGAAATAGTTTGTCAAAGCTATTTTGTATCATACTGTTTCTCTTTCATACAGTACGGCTTTCAAATTCTCAAATTATAATGCCATTAATAGTTTAAAAAAAACCCTCTTTTAAAAATAGCTTCTGAGTATTTATCCTTATTTTCATTGTATATATCTTGTGCAGAGGAAATGTGTCTCCAAAGGCCTCGTCAGAATTGTCTCGAACAGTATTTCTCTTGTTCAATCAGAAAAAATTTTAAATAGAATAAAACAAGGGAAAATAATTCAATACATCATGAAATGATCTAACACTAATGAAGTTTCTAACTAAGTTCTGCTAACCTAGTTAGGGAAAGCCTTTATAAAAATCTGTGAAATGACAAATTTTATACCTTCTATAAAAGAGAGAACAAAGCCATGTTACAATAAAACCAAAACCAGAAATTGAACTTGACTCTTGGGTACCTGCTTGTAAATACTACCTGTATGAGAACAACGCACAGGAAGAAGTTACAGCAAATTTGCTTGTGTGTTTGTTTGTTCCTTAAACAGAACAAGTATGTTGAGAGGCTCAGTAAAGTACTCCAGTGTAAAACACGTAGAATAGCATTTTCAGATGGGCAAGAGAAAAATAAGCTCCCCATTCCTATCTATGTTCAGTAGGAACTGAGCTCAGAGTTCCCTTGGACTTCTTTGAAAATCTTGGTAATATCTTTGAGACATGTTTCCATTTAAAAGTTGATATTCATGTAGATATTCAGTTTACACATAATTGAAATATCACTTTTACATAGAAGCTCTTGTGTACGTGACAGAGGACTAAGAGTCTTTTATGGCAACATCTCACACCATGTATTTACAAAAGTACGCAGTGTTCAGAGATCAAGGATTTAGTTTAATTCCCATTTTTTAAGAGAAAAATTTACTAAAGACAGGAACTGAAATACTTTTTGCTATACCTATACACATAGCTAGCAGATACAGAGAAATATTTTACTGATAAACATCTGAAAACTTTTAAAAATGAGCATTTGTCTTGAGTTCTTTTTGCTTTCATTGTGTGTATTCTTGATGAGAAGACAAATCTGCTTTTTGGGGCTGCAATGGAATCCAGCATTCAGTTCAATATTAAAATATTTACAAAAATAGCTTATACATGATTAATATATTTTTTAAAAAATAACTAGTTATTAAAAGCTCAGCATTGTTATGGAATGCTTATAGCACCGTTATTACTTTGTTATAGAATTGATGCTTTTAACCATCAATAGCACCCATCCTTTTCAAGTATACAACACAACTATAAAATCTATTAATCGTGCATTAATCTGCTTTAATTGGAACTGTTATTGATAGTGTAACCAAATTAAATTTAAGGTTTTCACTTTAAGTAATATGTTTCAAATTCTGAATGTAATTCTTTATGATTTAGGGAGTTATCAAGCAGTGAGACTTGGTGTGTAAGACATCTAAAAGCTTGTGTCCTCGGTGCGTGAACATTTCAGTTTATATAGTGTAGTTTTGAATGTTTTTATTTTGATAACATACTTAAAATATAAAGTCATGTTTTTAGAAATAATATGTGCCATTGTTTTCATAGTTTTTTTCAAAAAAAAAAAGATCTGGGAAAATATAGTTTCTCAAAAATAAATACTCCAGACCTTTTAGCATTCTGTTCCCCACTTGTAAATAGCACAGCCATTTGCCAGTATCTCCTCTGTTTTACTAGAAAACACTCTTTAGCCACTAGATTGCTTTTTTGTTAGAAGTCAATGATGTGATGCTGGAAATGATTTTGTAAAGAACATTATGAGGTGCAAGGTGGTTGGGTTTGTTCCTGTTGGTATATGGTTGTTTAAAAAGACAGAAAGAAACAAAAGCAAAGCAAAACAAAAACCTCCCTGGGACTGAAATACTTTGTATGTGTTGTTATTTGCAGTGCATGCCAAGACATTCATGGGCACCAGAGCCAACCTGGCGAGCTAATTAAATATATAAATGTATGTGTTTAAAACAGCCTTATAAGGAGCATTGGAAATCTGCAAGATGAGCGAATATCTTATAACTTCTTCCGCAGGTGCGAGGATAGCTACAAGCCATGGACTTTCTGTCCTGCTTCTTGTTTGTGGCTTTGTGAAGGGTGCTTTGCTTTAATCTAAAAGTGCTGACTTTTTCCAATATCACTTTCTCTTCTTAAAGCAAAGAGCAAATCGCCTGTAAAATCCACGGAGCGGACAGCAAAGTTGACCCTAACCTCCAACCACCACTCTGCACCCAATGTACTCTAAATCTCTACACAAGGAGCACCTTCTTCAGGAAGTACAAACAAAAATACTAAATAAATAAAATAAATAAATATTATAAAAAGAAGAGGATACCACATGGTTTCTTGATATATCTTATTTTCTTTGGCGTATCACTGATCTTTTATTTGAAGAGAACTGTTGTGATGTAATCAAAAGTTTCGTAACAGCAAGACCTAGTTTCCTTTTCTTTCGGCAAGGAGAAGCCTCATCCTTGACTTCTCAGGGGTTGGCCTGCGAGTCATCAGTCTTACAGAATTAACCATGGATGACATTTGGTTTCCGACGCTGAAAGAACCGTTCCAGCCTGGAAGCAAACCGAGGCAAAATAATGAGACAAAACATATTGATTTAACATCGACCCCAATAAAACACCTCACAAACTTTATTAAAAAACTTTTTTTTTTTTTTTATTTTTTTGCATGAGAAATAGGGAGGAAAAAAGGAATTCTACAAAGCAGCTAAGCAGACTAGAGGATGTTGTTTCTGCCAGACAAATGAGGATTTTTTTCTTTAGAGTTCTTTGGGTTTGTTTGGTTTTTCCATTATTCTTTTTCCCATGTGGTTTTTTTCCTGTCTTTTTTGTTTGTTTCTTGTTCAATGGTGGCAATTACTGACTTTGGCCAACCCCTGATGACTGCGTGGAGGTTTATATATATACATCTTTTTTTTTGTGTGCGTTCTATATTTCAGTGTGTTTTCTCTAATTTTGCAACTCCTGTATATGCAAAACTAACTTAAATTCTGTAAATTGCTTACAGTCTGTGTGATATAACTTCAGAGTAGACATACTTTGGTCCTCATGCAAGCCAGTTTTTAATATTATCTATATGTCGTGCCACCGATCAACATCTTTATTTCCTTTTTTGACAAAACACTCTTTAGTTTGTAATTCAGTACTGTGTGGATTTTGTAATACATACCTTCACTTCCACTGGTTTGATCCCTTTTAGCTATCTGTTTACTCTGTAAATGCACATTAAAATTTGTTATGGATTTTTTTGCATGAGAAATAGGGAGGAAAAAAGGAATTCTACAAAGCAGCTAAGCAGACTAGAGGATGTTGTTTCTGCCAGACAAATGAGGATTTTTTTCTTTAGAGTTCTTTGGGTTTGTTTGGTTTTTCCATTATTCTTTTTCCCATGTGGTTTTTTTCCTGTCTTTTTTGTTTGTTTCTTGTTCAATGGTGGCAATTACTGACTTTGGCCAACCCCTGATGACTGCGTGGAGGTTTATATATATACATCTTTTTTTTTGTGTGCGTTCTATATTTCAGTGTGTTTTCTCTAATTTTGCAACTCCTGTATATGCAAAACTAACTTAAATTCTGTAAATTGCTTACAGTCTGTGTGATATAACTTCAGAGTAGACATACTTTGGTCCTCATGCAAGCCAGTTTTTAATATTATCTATATGTCGTGCCACCGATCAACATCTTTATTTCCTTTTTTGACAAAACACTCTTTAGTTTGTAATTCAGTACTGTGTGGATTTTGTAATACATACCTTCACTTCCACTGGTTTGATCCCTTTTAGCTATCTGTTTACTCTGTAAATGCACATTAAAATTTGTTATGGTCTCTAGACAATGAATTATTTTAGTTTTGTGTATGTTGTGTTGGAGTTCAGTTGCTGAACGATCTTTAAATTTGTGATGTTTATAGAGGATGAAGTGATTCAATCACTAGAGACTGTAAAATGCAGGTTTGCAGTCAAATACTGCATGTAAAGGAAGGTTAGAAGGGGAAAACAGACAAATAGAACATGGCTTAAAGGTTATTCTTTTCGTAAAGAGTTTTAGGAAAGTGAATTTATTACACTGGTAAACTATATTTGCATCACAGCTACTTCTACATGGCCAAAGAAGTGTCTTATTTTGCTTTTTTCTGGAAGTGGATTGTCTTTACTCATTGATATTCTTAATTAAAATACTTTATGTCTGTGAACTGAACGTGAGAATTTTGCTGTTGAATGAAGTAATATGCATTACATGAATTACATTAATTAATACAGGAAGGAAAAATTGCTACCATTTGCAGCTGCAATCAGGAAGGTTTTTTTCTTGTTCCCCTCCTTCCACTGATGCTGAACAATCTACACCCTTTCATTTATCAAGACAGACAATCATGTATACCACATGCTTATTATGTTCTATTTACAGCAGCATTAAGTAGCTGCAGTATGGTCAGCTGTGTGATTTCTCCTCATTTTGCAAGTAATATAGAAGGAAGTAAAACAATATGCTTAATATCTCACCAGTCCAAAGCCTATAAGCCTAACATTTTATTTTAAAAGGCTCGTAAGTTTGAAGTCTTCCCCCATTAATTTCAAAGGAGAGAGAAAAAATACTAGAATAGAATCAAAGGGTAATACACTAACACTTTGGAAGAGGATAACATATTTGTGCAATTCTTTTTTCCCTGAATCATACATTCTGTACTTTAAGCTTGACTGGGAATAGTCATTCTTTCTTTGTATTTAGAAAATTCTTAGCAGTAATAAAGACAGTAGAAGTTTGGCCTAATACATACAAATCAGGAATAAATATCAGGAGAAAAAGGGAAAAAGTTCTTTTATTTCAACATAAAGAATATTGTGTATTGAAAAGTTTTTGCTCCATAGGAATAAGTTTATCAGCCTGCTGACAAAGGAAATAGAAACAGTCCCTGTTAAAAAGTGTTCTGAATCAAAAACAGTGTTGTGGATCAAAAAGGAAGTAGATGAAAAAAAAAAGCCAGAGCTTTTCAAAGTCTCATTTTCTGAACACAACTATGGAACAAAACTTTCAGAGCTCTGGAGGAAAGGCTACATTTTCTCCAAGAAATATATATCTATGAGTGGATACTGTGAGAATCTCCCACATTGAGTTTGGAAACCTGTTTCCATTGGTCTTAAGTGGAACCAAATGCACATATTACACGTTTCATATGTTTACTGTATACATATATCTTGTATGTATATTCTGTGTATGCACATAGTCCTATAGACAACCTGCAGTGACATATGGCATTTTTCAGAAGCAGTTTAGCCTCACGTTGTTAAAGGTAGCCTCTGGTTACTATGTTAAACCAATACTGTGTTTTGCTTTATGCTGTTAGCTGCTTAGATATAAATCACCATGTATTAGGAAGTAAGATTAAAGAACCAGCTGAAATTAAAGGCAGAATTCTAGACCACTCAGACTAGTGTGATACAACAACTCAGAAAGCATTACCAAGGAAGGTGCCGTATTGTGATCTGCTATTGTTCTTCAATGTTGTCAGCAAAAAATGGACAAAAGAAATCTGCCGGACTTTTTTCTGAAAAGCCTTTAAATCTTGCATGAGATACTAATGGTATACTGCAGGTGTCCTCCTTCCCCCCTCCCCAAGAAAACAAACCCTTCTTCAGATGAGGCTGGTTCAGCCCTTCTGGTTGTAGGTCTAGAGCCTAGCTTTACATTTTCTGCCAAGCTGTGTGGATGTATCAGCAACATCACCTAGCAGGAGCAAGTATTAAATTTCTAAATTCTATGCTGCATCTTAACAGCCATTCTTTAAATCAGGAATCTGCCTGAAGCTCCAAGAAATTCTCAAAACAGAAGTTAAGCTGCATTAACCCCACTTTTTCCTAAAAACTTAGTTATGAATGATATTTGGTGTAGGAATGGAACTACTGCCATTTTCTGCTCCGGTCCACTTTCGATTTAGTATTAACAGAGAAATAACTTGTATAATTAATTGTTAATTGTGTTAAGTACCTGAAGGGGGAACTTACATCTAGCAGTGACTAAAATCTCTCAAAACTCAATGTTGTTAACCTTTCTGCAGAAATAGTCTAGTTTTGAGGTGGTCGTTTACATGACTCATGATTTTGACTTAGTGGCCAGAAAGCCTTATTGAATATGTGTCTTTCTTCAGATTGTTCAAACACTTTTTGGTTTTAATAGAAGAGTAAACACAGGTGAGGATGAACCACTTTTGTATTTTAAGGAATATGCTATCTAAATACTGCTCACACACTTTGAGATGTTATGTCCTGTGAAGCTGAAAAAAATGTATTCCAACTCCATTAAATATCAATGACAGCTTTTGTGTTACATGAAAAAAGATCTATAGCACTTTTGCACTAGTATCAAGGATTAGTACTGCTGTAGAGCCTGTCCCATAAATTCTCCTCCTTTTCAATGTTTACCGATATTCCTTTAATCTCTAACTTCATGAATGTAAACTGCTGCATAACATGTTTGAACTTTCCTTTCTTAATTACCTTTTGTAGATTCTTCAAAGAAATTTGTGGAGCAGAAGGGGTGCTCAGACCATACATTTAAAAAAAGCTTAGCAGACTCTTTGTTCCTCAAAACTCCTGTTAAGAAAGGTACTAGAAAATTTGAATGGTAAACACTGAATCTATGATGAATTATTGTTATTTCTTTTTCATTCTCAATATTGAATATTTATATTACAGCACTACCCAAAGGCAAAGACCAGAAGTAGGTATAAACATATGGGACATCATATGTTTATGTGGACAATAGGACTGCTTGGAGGTTCATACCTATGTATGAAATTCAGTGCCTCTGTTATTTAGGACCAGAACATACCCTAGAACCAGTTTTTCTCACATCCACTTTTTAAAGTATTTTAGTGTCATTCAAATAAAATGAGTAAACAGTAGCCACTGCAGAAATCTGAATGCTTGCCCTATATTTTACAGTGTTAAACATTAAACTTCTAATGATCTCTACAGTGGTGTCATCATTTATTTCACCATTAAAAAAATAAATCAAAAAAGAAACAAAAAAACCCAACATTGCACTGCTGCCAATATTCAACTCCTTCCTCAAAAAATAAAAAAAAAAAGGAAGAGAAAACAATCTAAACCTTTGTTATTTGCAGGATGGGGGAACATTTGTCCATGACATTATTATTGGTAAATGTCAAATGTTATTTACAGAGCTAAAAGCATTAAGAACCAAGAACGAGATCATCATACTTTGCAATATAAATTTTTAAAGGTTAATCTTCCATGATTAGCTTAGCTAAACAATGCTAAGCACAAAGTAAATTGCTTAATGCAAGTCACCACAAATGGCTTCAGTCTTTTGTTCTGAACTTCCAAAATATTGATTTATTTGATTTCACAGTCATAAAGTTTGTATATACATTCACATAGTTTAAAGATTATACATAGGTTTCCTAGAGCTCTTCATCTAAACAGTACAAGAAGTAAAGAGCAAAGAAGAAAGTTAAATTTGTCTGTAATAATAAATCACAATCAATTGGTAGAGTTACTTGCAAAGAAAGAGAAATGTGCTTTCTTGAGAGTCAAGTTTAATTGCAATCTTATTTCATTTTCTTTTTATGGTATTCTTTTCTTGCCAACTTTTCAATCTAAAAAAGACAATAATTATTTCTTACTACTCACTTCTTACAAGGTGACAGAGGACAAAATAATGTTGGTTTTGTTATGAAAGAAGCTGAGGGAAAAATATTTTTTTCATTTAACAAAAATCTAAATGTTTACAGTGTCCTATCAACTCAAAATATGTCTGCTTATAGCTTTATGGGGAAGGAGCAGCAGTAGCAGTAGTTTTGTGTTTCAGCTTGACTTCCCAGCTCTAAAAGTGTTCTCAGTTAATTGTCACCCTACAGCTAAGGATAAGAGTCTTCTGTAAGTTTCATAAATACAATAAATACCAGTGACAAATTGGTTTGAGTTTTGAAATGATAAATACTTGCAACTCAGAATATTTTTCCATAGAGTTATAAATGTTACAAGGAATACAACTATTTAAAAAAATAAACAAGTCTAGAAGAATATCAAGACCTAGTAATCTCTCAAAAGTTTCAAAATATGACAAACACTTTGATCCAAAAAAGGCTTTAGGTGGCATTTTCTTTTAAAGTTTTATTGTAACCCACTCTTTTAAGACGTAAGACAATGTTTACATAATTTTATAAGTATTATAGATTGTTGGTTGGTTTGGGGATTTTTAA